GCTGCTTTCTTTGCAAACAATTAGCTATCGTATGTCTGATTTCTCGTCCTTGAAGATAGAAGCTTTACATCAGCATAGTCTGGATGTGCCGCGAGTAAGCGAGAGACATGCAACATTCAACTATATGGATGTGGTACGGTTCTTATTATTATATGAGTGTTTTCCACTGTTCGCCTAAACGGTCGTTTTGCCCGTTTACACACCGTGTAAACGCTACACAGTGGTGCGCCGTTTTCGTTTAATCACCCGTTTACTCCGTTTAATTGGCCGTTTAGCCCGTTTAATGGGACGTTTTGCCCGAATAATGGCTAAACGGTAGATGACCGACTGTTTACCATTTAGCGTTTAGGAAAACATTGGTGTTTTCTGATATTTTTTGTTTGTCCGCTTGCAGATTTTGCTCTATGATTTCACCTATGATACATGTGGCTTGCAGCCCATTCTCACGCAAGCTCTTAAGCGACTGAGGTACTCCTGGGATTTCGTGGAAGCGATGGGCCAGAGGACGACAGCTGGCATCCAATATTGCGTGAGATTTAAACAGAACCAGGCCATCGATAGTCCGTTAGTAGGCTACATCTATGGGATGCTATGTCCTCGGCGTTGTGAGGCAATGGAGAGTGTTGTAGTGCGGGCCTTGTATTACATAGACATGACCGTGGTTACACAATCCGAGACATACACTACTGGCAGTGGAGACAGACTAGGGTTGTAGCCGGTTTGTAGGATCCATGTGTTAGTGAGGTTTATTCGTACTGTTACGTTTAATCACGTTTATTCTAACAATTATATACTTTAACTAGATTTATTTATATGGATATTTTAATTATGTTTGTATGCAAGTTAATTATATTTCATTAGGTTTATTTGTATGTACATCATAATTATGTTTGTATGGATTGTAAGGTTCTCTAAGATCTTTATTATTATTTTGATCATTTCTTCATCCGATAAAGTCGTAGTCTACATTGTTTAAACTATAAGAGAGAGATGTAAATTTGTGAACAATGTGCAGTACCACTTTGTCGGACGAAGAAATGACCAAAATAAAAGTTGTAGTTCTAAAAAATTACACAACTTTATAGTTGGCAACTTTTTAATTTGAAATCATTTCGTCAAGAAAAACTATGTTTGAATTTTTAAAATTTAAAATTTGAATTTTTAAAATGTCCTCAAATGGAGAAATGACCAAAACAAAAGTTGTAGATCTCAAAAAGTTATACAACTTTATAGTTGACAACTTTTTCATTTGAAATCATCTTGTCAAATAAAACTATGTTTGAATTTTTGAGATTTGAATTTTTAAATTGTAATTATAATTTGTAGCATATGTTATGAAACATTTAAAGCATGAGACAAAAGCATTATAAATTGTATATGAAAGAAAATTTGTATTGCAATTTTTTAAGCTATATTTTTTTACTACATAATTTCTAATTTTCAGCCACTTTATGTTAAAGAATATTTTATAAACTGTTGCATGGGTGGGAAACGAAATTGCCAGGGAGCAGCAGTTTCGCCGTGCGCCAAAATTCAGTTTCAGTCCCGAGTTAAGCCACCAACTGAGATTTGGCCCAACCCAGGACCGAAGGTTTTGACCTTCAGTCCTGGATTGGGCCTCTAACCGGGACTAGAGGCCTTTTAGTCCCGGTTGGTGGCCCAACCTGGGACTAAAGATACTAACTCTATATATCCTCGTGTCTTCTCTTCTTTCTCCTTTCAAGTGCCGCCTGATCCGCGCCACGCACTCTGCCGCGCCGCCACCCCCGCCTTGCGCTGCCCGTCCAACCTCGCCCTCTTCTCTAGCTCGCGCGGCGGGTCCTCATCCTCGTCCTCGTCCTCGTCCTCGGCTCCGATGCGCACGGCGGCGCCCACGTCCTCATCCTCCGTCGGTCGGCCAACGTCCTCGTCCTTGGCTTTGGTGCGCACGGGGCTCATGCCCTCTTCTCCGGCGCGCACGACGGGCCCTCGTCCTCGTCTCCCCGGCGCGCGGCGGCACCCTTGTCCTCGTCCTTTGGTGGCCATCCGACCTCGCCCTCATCCTCGGCTCCTGCGTGCGCGGCGCCCTCGTCCTCCTCTTCTATGCGCGTGGCTGCTCCATCGCCCTCCTTGTCTCCATCCAGCGCCTTCGCATCTTCGGCCTCGCCCTCATCTCCGACAGCGCCTTCGCCTCCGTCCTCATCTCCGTCGACGCCTTCTTCGTCTTCGACCTCGGCCTCGACCTTCATTTGCCGCCAGGTGGTAATACTCGTTGCCAACCCCTTGTCATCCATTCGTGCTATGTGAAAGCGGGCTTGGAAAGATGCTGAATTTTGATATATATGGTTTATTGATGTGAATTTTGGTATATATAGACTTATAAAAAAATTGACTTCAGCGATATACATATATGAATTTTGATATATTGACGTGTTATGCATTTTGATATATTGACTTTAGCGATATGAATTTTGATATATAAGGTTTATTAATGTGAATTTTGATATATATAGACTTCAAAAAATTAAATTCAGTGACATACATATATGAATTTTTATATATTAACTTTAGTGTTTATGCATTTTGGTATATGATAAATATTGACTACAGTGATTTGAGTTTTGATATATAGGTTTTAGTGATGTGAATTTTGATATTTGTAGACTTATGAAAAAAATTGACTTTAGTGATATGTATTTTTGTGTATGAAAAATATTGTCTCCAGGATATGATTTTTTATATATTGACTTTAGTGAGAAGAGATGGCTGGACGTCGTCTCCCTCCACCGGAAGTCATAGGTTTCAGCGGCTATGTAAAGTGAATGGGATTCGATCCCGTGTTGCCGGATGTACCGTTTAATCATTCAAGCATAGTAAGCAACTCTATTTGTTTCCAATAAATTAATATGTCAAATACGTTTATATAAATATATTTTCTGATATGTATATATATATGATTCTTAAATGTACCATAGGTAATTGACCCAATCATTTGGTTTAAAGAGACACTCTAAAATTTCAGGGTTGAGGAAGTAGTTGTTCATACCTTTATTGTAGATAATGGTCCATTAATCCAATGTCGAATTGGCTTTTTCATCGCCGCCAGGAGGGATAGAGGTGTTGTACAAATCTTAGATATGAGAATAAAGGCACCCTAGCAAACCGTTGCACCAAAATATGCTGTCATTGCACGTGGAGATTGACCGATTGATTGATTCAAGGCCGGAGCACGGGGCGAGTTACTGGTGAGTGGTGACTGACCTTTTGATGGAGCGAGTCGGTGGCGGCGTGGCGGCGTATGCGGTCGAGGAAGTCATACGAATCGGGGCGCGACGCCATCGACGTTGGGTTCTCCATCGCAACGCCACGTCGGCACCGGTGCTTGTCTCGTGGTGTCTGCGTGCGCGTCGGCCGATCTGGCATACAAGCGTTAGCCCCTACGGCGCGGTGGCCTAGGCCAGCACGCCACCGGCCATGGCGGGACAGACCATCTCTCCAGCGCGGTGGCCCTGGCCTCCGGCCATGGTAGGGCGAGGCGCTCTCGGCCACCGGCGCGGCCGCGGCCGGCTCCCCAGTGCGAGATGCGGCTAGGCCGGGGCGCATGCGAATCCGCCACAGAACGTCTGCGGTCCCGCTCCGTCGCTACAGGCAAGGGCGGCCGATTTGCGCCACTTCGTCGGTGAGCTAGCCCACCTCGCCGGTGGACCATGCATGCGCCGGTTACCCGCGCTACGGCCCTGCATCGACGCCGAGCGGACGACAGACACGCCGAGAAGATTCGTGAGTTTTCGGGCCGCGATGAAATGGGTGGAGACCCGATCCGATCCAAAATCTAACGGTCCACATCGCGAGCACACCCCGATCCGACGGTTACCAAGCTATCGAGTGACGTGGCCCGATCCATTAGCCCGCTTTTGGTGCAGGAATCGTATTTAGAGAATTCGATGTGCAAAGGTATGATTATCAAAAGATACTTGTTCTCCCTCTTACTGCACACAACAAGCACATAGACAAATAAAATAGTCCAAGTGCATATTACAGGTTCAAGGTCAGTTTTCGGAATAACTACATAAAGGCGATCTTGCCTAACAAACATCTGGGAAAAAACCCCCCCGAAGGTAGTAACACTTGTAAAGAGATTTTTTTGCTACTCCTGTCCAGTGTCGCGTGTATGAATGTGCGCACTGGCATCCTCTTTATGTATCGAGGAAGTGCGCGCGGTAAACCTATAATGGCCCCGTTCGCTTGTCTTAAATTTGGCTTGTTCGGCTTGTTTTTTCAGTCGGAACAGTATTTTTTTCTCGCAACAATTCAACCGGAACAGTATTTTTCAGCCAGTTTCAGCCAAAGTTCAGACCAGCGAACGACGCCAATTCCACCAGTAATGTTATCTGCAGCTTGATTCCACGGATATAATAAATTCATTCGTACGGGAACAGAGCGAATCGCTACGGCTTGTTTAAATTCAAGACTTAGAAGTTTTAAGGTAGGTAAACCTACAATTCCACAAGCAATAATGTTATCTGCAGCTTGATTCCACGGATATAATAAATTCATTCGTACGGGAACAGAGCGAATCGCTACGGCTTGTTTAAATTCAAGGCTTAAAAGTTTTAAGGTACGTATGGTTTTTGATACTAATAAAAAAATAAATTATAGAATACATCAGTAATCTGCGAGAAAAATTTATTACGCATAATTAATTCATCATTAGCACATGTGTTACTATAGCACAACATTATCAAATCATAGACTAATTAGTCTTAAAAGACTCGTCTCACAAATTAGTCACAAACTATATAATTAGTTATTTTTTTAATTTATATTTAATATTCTATACATACACCAAATATTGGATACACCAAATATTAGATAGGACAACTAGTAAACTCTTGGGAGCAGAACTAAACGAATATTCCGGCAATCTACACGACCCTCACTCGATTATCGATGAGGAAACAGTGCCATCATCATTATTCTGCTGAAGAGTGACTGAGGAAACGAGGAAACCCGCCCGTGTGTCAATGGCGATGGAGAAACAAGGCCCAGAATCCGGCCCCGGCGGTTCCGGCCGCCGTCAGGTACACCAAGGCGCCGACGGCCGGCGGCATCAGCGGGGCGACCCTGGCGGCGAACAGGGCCGTGAGCAGCGTGGTGAGCACCCAGACCGCCGCCTTGGTCCTGCCCCCGTCCCCTTCCCCGCGCTCGAACCTGCGCAGGAAGTGGAAGAGCAGCGCGATGCCTCCGTAGGCACCGGCCACTAACGCGACGGCGCGGGGGTCATCGCGCGACCTGTAGATGGCGAGAGCCGAGTTGCCCGTCAGCGCGGCTAAGCCCAGCGTGGTCAGTAAGCTGTGGCGGTGGAAGTCCATGTATCACTTCTCTGGCACGCGGCTCGCGTTTGCATCGTCGAATTGTTCCCAACGCGTGCATCGCCATCGCTATATATAGTGAAACAGTTCCTTGCCGTTCTTGTGTTTTCTGGAAACACGCCGAAGATTCTGGAATCAGCTATATAAATCCGGAAAAGGCTTGTCGGAGTCTGTAGGATGCTCCTAGAAGAAACATACAGACAAAAACTACTACCTGTCGTGCAGGAGGGCCACGTCCCTCGTGACGGTGAATTCCACGCACGGTTACCTTTTGCAGAGGTGACCAAAGAATCGGGCGGCGGCGGCGGCGCCAAAGCAGACGGCGACGAAGGGGATTGGTTTCTTGGACTTTTTTTTTTCTAAATAACTCCCTGAGTGTGGTGTGTGACTTACTTAACCTCAGCCTACAAAACCATATATTTAGCGCATTAAACTTTATTAAACTAGTTACTTTCGTCCTATCCGTTTGTTTATAAACCGTACTTTTTCAACCCACGAATAATATTTTTCTCTCATACCAAATCAGTCAATAAGATTTTCATACCATGGCTTATCAATAAACGTATGAAATCGCAGCATCAGATGCCACTGTAAAGATGTGGAAAAAGCGCATCGAACGACCTGCGGATCGGAGTATGTTGGAGAAGCTTCCTAGCTTATCTTTTTTTTTTTAGGAAATCCTATCTTGTCTTGTTAAAAAATAAAAATGGAGAGTTGGTTCGATTGGGAGAGGATGGTCCATGCTCATGAAAAGAGGCAACATAGGAAGCAGCTTTCAGGAATCCAAAAGGGTACCAATGGACAATGGTGGATGCCCTTTAAGCTTTGAATAATCGAATCGAGGCCACAAGGAGAAGGGGAACAAGCAGAGATGAAACGAAGGCAATAAGCGGGAAACTAGGGGAGCAGAGATGAAGATCTCGCGATCAGAGCGCAGGACCAGCAACAAGAGAGAAGAGGCTATGCGGGGTTGGAAAAATTCAAGCTACTGATGAACAGAGTAGAGACCAAGGAAAAAACATGGCAGCAGACGTACTTACCCTCGCCTTGCCGCTGCTCACCGACGGCGATGGGCTGCGTCGCCGGCGAAAGACGACCAAAGTCCGTCTCTCCGAGCGCCGGCGTAGCTAGACAGCGATCTGCTGTCTCCGTTCTCCGTCTCCCAATTACGGAGGTTCCTGCTGTGACCGACCGGCCACTCTGCTTTCTTTTTCTTCAACCTCCTCACCACGTCTCTGTCTCTTCTCTGCTTCTTCTATCCTTGTGCTGTAATCCACTCACCCTCCTCAGTTTTACCCATTTTAGCTTTGTTGACAGACTTTAGTGAACGCACACGGATGCAATTCATCTTGCGTCTCAGTCCTCTGACGCTTACACCAATTTTGGCAGGTGCTATGAGCCTATGACTCCAGCCAGACCATTTTGTAATTTGTACACCCGCTAGCTACTTCCGCTACGCCTTCTTTGTTTCCACTGCACGCATGTGGCGTTCCAATAAAGCAAACAATTTACTTATCTTTTGATTTCCTCACACGTGGTCTTTGTATTTCGCTATATTTGTCTATTCTATCTGGGACACTAAAAGTGTAGAACTGATTGTTTCATGCTTTGAAACATGCAATGCATTCATAAGAACCGTTTTGCAATTATTTTTATATTTTATAAATATTTTACACTGATGATTTTTGTATTTTTTAAATAAATATTTTGAAAAGTATTACCGACAAAGTTTTAAGATTTTAGTTTGATTTTAGTTAAAGCACTACTAACTATTTCTGAAAAGAGTAAGTATATATATTTAGGCGCATAACATGTGTCGATGTTTAATGCAATTCTTTTTTTTAAACAGGGAGTTCCTGCATTTTGCTATAGAAGAAACCAGATTTGGGAGGAAAACTTGCTTGAAAATCATACAACTCTAGGTTAATTAAATAAAGGAAAACTAATTAAAAAATTAATCATGGATGACTAACCCACCAACATATAGTGACAAAGGTTTATGAGGGAAACTTGCTTGAAAACCGTACAACCGATGGTTAATGGAAGAAAAAACAATTAAAAAAACTAAGGCCCCGTTCGCTTGGCTGAAAAAACAAGACAGAACACTATTCCGGCTGGAAAAAAACAAGCCGAACAAGCCGGATTTCAAGACAAGCGAACGGCACCTAAATATGCACGACTAACCCACCAACATATATATAGTAACAATCTGCACGAGGGAGCATATAATGCATCGTCACCGCCGAGCTACGTCCCTATAGGGACCAAGAGAGCAACTCTGAGTTCCTATGGTAAACCTTGGCCAAGCCATCATGTGTCACTAGGTCTAGCATAGAAGTAGCACCAACACACCTAAACAAAGTCCGTGACACACACCGGAAACGTCAAATTTGCCTAGTGTTTTTATGTTTGCCGAGTGTATTCTCTCGAGCACTCGGCAAACAAGTTCTTTGCCGAGTGCTGCTCTAAAAACACTCGGCAAAAAAAAAAACACTCGGTAAAGCGGAGGTTTGCCGAGTGTCAAAAAAAATACTCGGCAAAGATGGGGTTTGCCGAGTGTTTTTTTTTACACTCGGCGAAGAAGTAAAATCTTTTTTTCTGGGAAAGAAGGAGAAGAAAAAAAATGAAAAAAAACTTTGCCGAGTGCCTAGATCCAGGACACTCGGCAAAGAAATAAAATCTTTTTTCTGGGAAAGAAGGAGAAGAAAAAAAATGAAAAAAAAACTTTGCTGAGTGCCCAGATCTAGGACACTCGGCAAAGGAAAAAAATCTTTTTTCTGAGAAAGAAGGAGAAGAAGAAAAATGAAAAAAAAACTTTGCCGAGTACCTAGATCTAGGACACTCGGCAAAGGAAAAAAACCTTTTTTTAATCGGCCCCAGCGGACGCCCCTTCCCTCCCCCTTCTTCTTCCCCCGCCGTCGCCCCTCCCCTCCCTCCCCTCCTCCCTTCCCGCCCGGCCCCTCCCTCCCTCCCTCTCGGATCGCCCCCTCCCTCCCTACCCTCCGGAGACCTCCCATTCTTCTTCCCTCACGACACCCCTCCTCCCCTTCTTCTTCCCACGGGCGCCCGCCTCCCTCCCATTCTTCTTCCCCGACGGGCGCCTCCCCACCCCCTTCTTCTTCTTCCCACGGCGCCTCCTCCCTCCTCCTCGAGATCCGCCCGCCCGTGCCCTCACTCACTGGCCACCCTGCCCCCCTCCTCCGGGGCCCCTTCACGGCCGCTTGCGAGGCAGCCCAGACCCTCCCATCTATGGCGCAGGGTGGCTCGGCCCCTCCTGGCGATGCGGAGTAGCAGCAGCAGCGGGTGGCAGTGCAGATCCACCCTCCTCCCCTCCCTCCATGGCTCCACCGCGGGTGGCATCGCGGATCCGGTGGGATGGAGCCACCACGGCGCAGATCCGGCGGAGAGGTGTCCTCCAGCGGCGGATCCGGTGGGTTGGATCCCAGTGGCGGTGGATCCGTGGATCTGACGGTTAGGAGCCCTCCGGCGGTAGGCTCCACGGCGAGCAACGCGGCGGCGGCGGGCTCCATGGCAGCGGCCCCTCCCCTCCCCTTCTTCTTCTCCCGGTAGGATCCGACCCTCCCTCTCCCAGATCCGGCGTGGTGTGGTGGTGGTGGATGGCGGCTGTGGTGGTGGTGGCGGCGGTGGTGGCCGGCGGCTGTGGTGGTGGTACAGCTGGTGACTTGTTTTTTTTCCCCGAAAAATATTTGTTGAGTGTTTTTTTGGACTCGGCATAGTCTTTGCCGAGTGCCCGACGATTGACACTCGGAAAACAGCTCTTTGCCGTTAAAACCTACGCCGAGTGTAACACTCGGCAAACGCTTTGCCAAGTGTTTTTGGGGTTTTCCCGAGCTCCTGTATCCGGTAGATTGAGGAGGTAACCCAAAGGTAGAGGCCTCACTGAAACTGTTGAGTAAACCCCTAGTTTCCACCCTGAGATATTTCAACACTAGGACACAAGTGGCATGTCAATAAAGCAAATAATTTATTTACTTTTGATTTTTTTCACATGTACACTATATTGGGTAGCTCAAGAGAATCATGTTAGTTTTGTTTTTTTGTCCTATTGAACCTTCCTTGGTAGTAATTTAGGGTTTAGATATAGAGGTTCCAAGATTATAGGAGCATGTATAATCAGTGTGTCAAATGGTGAGGGTGAGTAGCCAAAGGCGGTACTGATAGTCGACAATGGTTATCGGGTCATTGTCTAGGCTAAGATGGTGTTCAGGTATCATTGCAGTAGTGGTAGAGAAAAGAGGGGAATAACTCTTCCATACGGTGCCATGAAAGGTTTTTTGGTGGAGGGGGTTCTAGGAGCATGAATGTAGCATGAGGAACCAAGTGGAAAAGCACTTTGTTCTATCTTGTGTGAAGTGGTTTGAACTTTTGGTTTTGCATAGCACATTTATTTTTATGGCTAACAAGAAGTGGTGATGAAGTTGAGTTGAGGATGCAGAGAATCATGTTTGTTGTCTAAAGGTCTATAGGTCATGGATGCATGGGACATTGCAGTCAATGACAAGGTGGCGAAGGACAAGTGAAGGCTTGTGCCAATGGATAAATAGTGGTGAAGGTGAGTATAAGCTTATGCCGATGAACCACGCAAGTCCTAGTGAAGCCATGTGCGATCTCCATCGCTCACATAAAGGGTGCAAGATGGTGCTGACCAACTCATGGTGGTCATCGAGTTACAAGTCATTAGGAGGCAACCTAGTAGTTGAAGGCCGGGCAAATATATTTTCTCGATTGGGGGATATAGCCCGTTTTTCATTAAGATGAGTGAATTACATGTCAGCTATGAGAGAACCCTCATAGCACAGATTACAAACCACTAAGATAGTGGCAAATACCTTGACGACTACTTGGACTAAGGATGAGGCAGGTCACATGTCAACATCAAGCTCACTTAGAGGCTAAGCAAGTGGCAACAACGTTTCAAGAAGTGCACAAAGTTGGCACCATCACAAAACTTGTTTGAGGCAAGCAAATGCGACAAAGGT